ATACTGTAAACACAAAGCATTGGACTGAATACTGATATTTGAAATTGTCAATTTAATACCGCCAGTAGGTGGCAGCAACTCACTATTAAGAAGTGAGTCATTGCGATTGAACTGAATCATTTAAAAAAAATGATTCTTTTCGAAAGTGAAACACCAACAGGATGCGAAAACAGACATTAATATAAACTTTCTTTATTTGAACAGCTGTATAAAGTCAATTTAATGTTTAAAACAATGCAGACTTTTCAAGAAAATTTAAAGAAAATGAATGAATGAATTAATTAATTTACCCGGTATTTTCAAATAGGGCCTGTTCACATATGATCCCTATCTGGAAAATTGACGTTCATTTTCTGGAGAGGTCTATATGAGTGAAAGGGGCTATAGTTTACACGATTAACTACTTTACCACATCGCTTTCTTCCTCTTTACCCTTAATGTTATCACATAATTTAGTGCAAGAAGATCTAGCAAATGTTGTTTTGCTACAAAAAAAAAGAAGAAAAAAAAAAATATATATATATATATATATATATATATATATATATATATATATATATATATATATATATATATGTGTGTGTATGTTAACAGTCTAATTTAGTTCTTAAAACTTTTTTTTTTTCTTGTGTGTCAATTAATTTACCCTAAACTATTTTTAAAATCCTAATAATTCAGCATTAGTTATAATAATACTCTTTTCAGACAGGTTATTACTTGGATATTTGTCATTTTCCTGCTCTCGATGATCACTGCACACGTCAGATTCTCACATTTCTCAATAGTTGAAATAGTTCACATTCTGCTGCAGATGTTTAGATTATTGTAACGTAGAGCAGTTAATAAATGCAGTACAACTATTTCCAATAGATCGAGAAGCCTTACACTACGCCCAGGATGTTCTGTGAAAAAATGCATCTTATTTTGATAGATTGGACAATGCATCAATTAACCACGGTATGCGTTGTATGTCCATCTTGACTTTGAAAGTGCAGAAATGCGTCAGCAGGTCGCTGGAATGTTTTTCCGCACGTCTCACCAAACATGCAGCTTCTGAGTATTTGCCTGAGATCATGCAAGAGAGTCAAAATAGCGCACAATCAGATGTTCCCAACTCTGTCGTTTCACACTCACAGCGTCTCGTTCACATGTTGAGAAATAAAGCCGCCGCTTCTCAGACTTCATGTCTGGAAAAGCAAGTTTACAATACACTTCTCTTTCCGTTCATGAGTGTGTGTGTGTGTGTGTGTGTGTTCATTGTTAGATTGAGATCCCGGGAAGGAAGTCGGGTTATTAGGCAGAAACCTCTTTTGCATCATTTCACTTTCCTGAAAGCCACAGGCCGTCGTGTAATAAATACTATACTTATAATTAGTGAATATGAGGTGCTTTCACTTTCAAAATGTGGTATACGTTCCTCCCATGTTGGTGTTTTTAATTCTTGTGAACACGTTCAGGTGCTGCTTGTCAATTTGATGTGGGCTGTGTGATTTGGATACAACACCGGTACCGCATGTTCCTCCATGTCACGTCAGTGATGGGTCGTTACACTGTATAAAATGGCACATAACCATTAAAAAAAGTCAGCTGTTAATGTGACTAAACCAGTGGTTCTCAAACTGTGGTACGTGTACCAGTAGTGGTACGCAGGCTTCCTTCTAGTGGTACACGGAGAAATGAAATATGTCATGTACATGCTACACACATTTCAAAATTTATCAAAAATTATGTATATAATATGCCATATATGACAAATAGCCTATATTTCTGAGGTAATGCAGAATTTTAGCTGCTTAACTGGGTCTACTACGCTACTGTATTTCAATATTGCTCATTTTGGTGGTACTTGAAGAGACAATTTTTTTCTGAGGTGGTACTTGATGATAAAAGTTTGAGAACCACTGGACTAAACTGTTTCTCTTTTAGGTAAGTCAGGATGATCACGTGTTTCTGTTCTTCTTAATAGCAGAATAATGAGAGAGATATTTATTGAGAAATTGTTATAACTCTTCTTGAAAGTCAAGTTTACATACAGTAAGATCATTCTGCCTCTGATAAAGCTCAGATGATGATGTCAGGGTTTTGGAAGTTTCTGATTGGCTAATTCACAACATTACAGTTAATGTGAGGCACAACTGTAGAATAGTATTGAAGGAAAAGCTCAAACACACTGCTTCCCTGTGTGACAACATGGGAGAATTAACAAGCCAGAATCAACAGCAAAGCCAGATTACCTTTAGCTGAATGACACTGGGAAAAAGAGTAATGTGTGGAGGCATGTCCTGTGCTCTGATGGAGCTAAGATTGAACTGTTTGGTCATAATGAGCAGTGTTACATCTGGAGGACAAAGGGGAAACACACAAGCCTAGAACACCATCCCAACTGTGCAGTATGGGGGCGGCAGCATCATGTTGTGGGGCTGTTTTGCTGCAGGAGGGACTGGTCCACTTCACAGCATAGATGGCATCATGAAGACAGAACATTATGGAGAAATACTGAAGCAACATCTCAACACATCAGCCAGGACATTACAACTTGGCCACAAATGGCTCTTCCAGACAGACCATGACCCTAAGCACACTGCCAAATGAGTTCAAATGTGCTTTAAGGACAACAGAGGGAATGTTTTGGAGTGGCCATCACAAAGCCCTGATCTCAATCCTATAGAGAATGTGTGGGCGGAGTTGAAAAAGCTTGTGCGAGCAAGACAGCCTACAAATCTGACTCAGTTACAGTAATTCTCTCAGGAGGAATGGGCCAAAACTCCTGCAAACTACTGTGGGAAGCTTGTGGAAGGAGACCCAAAACATCTGACCAAAGTTATACAGTTTAAAAACAAAGCTAAACAACACCAAGGACATGTGTGTAAACTTTTGACTGTCTAGAAATTAATAAAAATTCTCAAAATTCATTTTTTAAAACAGTGGTTATGTTCCTTTATGTAGAGTGTACAGAATGAACTTCTGGTTTCAACTGTATCAGTGTGTGTGTGACGTGTGTTTGGAGGTGCTGGAGGTCTGGCTGGGGCCGGTGGGTCTGACTGTAACTCAAGCCTGCTGTGCTATAAATAGATGTGGAAGGAAAAGCCTGCGTGTTTGTGGCTCCGGCTTTAATTACAGCCTGTGTTTAACTGTTCTCAGACCTGCACTGGAAACATGCATGAGCACACACTGCTGTTCATTCACTCTTTAACGTCAGCAGAGCGTGTGTGTGTGTGTGTGTGTGTGTGTGTGTGTGTGTGTGTGTGTGTGTGTGCGCGCTGCTTACATAACCCTGCAGAACCACAACTACAGACCCCTTAAATAATAATAATAAAGCAGCTCCTATAGGAAGCACATTGAGTCCGTCTACAATATTTGCGATGCGCTCGTGTCTCTTGGGAATCGAAATTTGAGCTTCAGGATTTTTATTTTTATTGTTATGGCAAAAAGTCTTGCAAAAAAAAGTGTTTATTAAAAAGTTTGTTTTATTTTTTTTTACCTAATATTAATATCTTAATGGACATTTAGAATTTGTATAATTTGATAATGCTATTTTGGTGGTGATATGGTGGCTCAGTGGTTAGCACTGTCGCCTCACAGCAAGAAGGTTAGTGGATCAAGTCCCAGCTGGGTCAGTTTCTGTGTGGATGTTCTCCCTGTGTTGGCGTGGTTCCTCCGGTTTCCCCCACAGTTCAATCACATGCTCTATAGGGGAATTGATGAACTAAATTGCCTGTATTTGTTGATGTTTTTATAATTATAATAATAATAATAATAATAATAGGGATAATAATAATAATAATAATTATTATTATTATTATCATTATAATAATTATAATAATAATAGTAGGGATAATAATAATAATAATAAGTATAATAATAATAAATACAATAATAATAGTAGGGATAATAATAATAATAATAATAATAATAGGGATAATAATATTAATGATAATAATTATAATAATGATGATAATAATATGAAAGATTATAATAATAATAATAATTAAAATAATAATAATAATAATAATAATTATAATAATAATAGTAGGGATAATAATAATAATAACAATAATAAGTATAATAATAATAATAATTATAATAATAATAGTAGGGATAATAATAATAACAATAATAAGTATAATAATAATAATAATTAAAATAATAATAGTAGGAATAATAATAATTATTATTATAATAATAATAAGTATAATAATAATTAAAATAATAATAGGGATAATAATATTATTAAGGATAATAATAATGATGATGATAATAATAATAATAGTAATAATAATAATAATAATAACAATAATAATAACCACAAGATATTCTTAAATGTCTGGTACATTTTTTGTGTTTTTTATATATTTTTTTATAATTAAATTATTCACATATAATATTTATTCCAATTTATACACTATAATTACTTTTTTTAAATATAATATTAATACATATCTTTACATAAATATCAGTTTAAAACAAAATTATTCTCCCTCATATGAAATTTAAATTATTTTTAAAAACATTTTCCAAGTAATGTTTGACAAAGCAAGGATGTTTTCTATAAAATATCTCTTCTAGAAAAACCCTATTTCTTTTATTTTGGCACAATTCTTTGTCTACAGAACAATCCTTACCTGCCTAGTTAACCTAGTGATGCCTTTAAATCCCACTTAAAGCTGAATACTAGTATCTTGAAGAATATCTAGTCTAATATTATGTGCTGTCATCATGACAGAGAGAAAATAAATCAGTTATTAGAAATGAGTTGTTAACACTATCATGATTAGAAATTAGAAATATATATATATATATATATATATATATATATATATATATATAGATAGATATATATAATTAATAATATAATAACATCACCGGAGGGCTAATAATATAGTCTTCAGCTACACATATAATTCCATCTGTTTATTGATGCACTGAAGCATATGCAGCTACTGTAAACAGTGTTCTGGTATTCTTCCTCTATGGTTGACGTCAGTCTATGTCTTCTACAGGAAGGGCAAAGGGAAGCCCAATGGAAAGAAGCCGCCGACCGAGGAGAAGAAACATTATTTGGACGCCGAATACACCAAAGTACGGGTGGTGGACTTCGAGCTGAAGGAGCTGGTGGTTCTGCCCAGAGAAATCGACCTCAACGAGTGGCTCGCCAGCAATAGTAAGACTTAATGAACACCTTGCATGCTAACACACTTTCTAGTGCACTGTAAACGATATCTGTTAATGAACACTTTCTGTATTTTTGTGTGTGTTTTGGGTTAATTTCTGGTGGTGAATTGCATTACGGGATGCTGATCTCTCCTCTGTCCCCTTCTGATGTTGAAAATTGAACTCTACAGTTTAACAAAGTGACTTTTACTGACATTTTAGTGGTTTAGAACATTTAGAAATGATATCTAGTGTGTAAAATAACAGAAAATGTGCTGCAGTTTATTACAAGGTGTCTGTAGCATAATATACAACACCAACACACCCAATATAGCACTGCAGACTAATACACACGTTCATAAAAGTCACTTTTGCATATTGTGCAAGGTTAAAAGTTGTTGGAGGAAAGATCAAGCTCCCAATTTAAAAGCAGAAATAAATGAGGGAAGATAAAAACATCAATGAGAAAATGCTTTGTAATAATTATTTAATACTTTTCTGAAATAATATAAAGTAATTTTGTAGAACTTTTCAAATGCATCTTAATAACCTTAATCATACTGCTTTAAACAGATAAACTCCGCGGACCCGGTACCGTGACGTACCGTGACGACATCGACTTTCGCTTTAAGATTTAAAGGGCTAGCATTGCACCCTTAAGTGGTTTCGTTTGAAAGTGTAGAATCTATATTTTATGCACATATGCATCACTTTGGTTCATATAAGACACATGTACAAGTTATAGCTCAAATGAAAGCTCTTGCCGGTGCTCATACGGTTCTAGCATTGTTTTTACTGAATTATATTCACATATCAAACAGTTGCCGAATGAATCTCGGTGTTTCCATGGCACAGAAGTGAAAACAATGCATTCATGATCAATAAGCAGCCCCAGATAGCACAGACAGCTGTCATCTCTTACCTCATACGCTTCAGGGCCATTCTCCTCTGTTTTTGAGCTGATGTGCATAAGTAATCCTTTTATATGTCTGACGTGCTCCAAACACAGTGAATTATGTTTGATCAAACAAAAGAATAGTGAAATATGAAAATAATGATCGCTCCCTGTGGCTTGTACAGCACCTCTCATCAGTTGGATTACAATAACTTCTGCATAGATTATGGTGGAGACATTTTTCTGTTTTCCTATGGTTACAGACATGTGCAGGAACCACCAACATTAATTACAGCACACTAGACCACACACAACCTAAAAGGTACTCTTTTAAACTTGAGTTTATATAAAAAAAATACAAAAAATGCCTCTTTCTTTAGGTGTTTATTATAACACAGACAACATATACAGATATTTTAAACACTTTCAATAGTGTTTTATGAAAATCCAAAGGGTTTTCTTTAAAATGATACCACATTTTTGCATTTACACCTCTGAATGTGGATTTGGGAAGCTTTTAAATTTGGGTAGGCGAAATCCAGACGGAAATCCTAAAATAACAACAGAGTTTAACTGGTTAAACAAAACGCAAGCCAATAAAATAACCATGTTTTACTGACCCTAAAATTTGCTGACAAATGAACAAGTTAAGAGTCGTAATTTTAAGTCGCAAAGAGGCTAAATTCAAGTAAAATACCACAAAATTTTCCACACTTTAGAATTGTATGTCAACTTTATAAATGTTGTCTAAAGTATTAAAAAATAAGCTCATACTTCTTAAAACAGAGAGAGCACTCTAATATGGCCACCAATGGAAACTGAATGTGAATTCCAAACAGAACAGAATTATTCCTCCTGTATATTTTTCGTGTTCAACATAGAGCAGATTCTGCCAACACATTTCTAATCATAATAGTTTAATAACTCGTCTCTAATATTAACTGATTTCTGTTATCTTTGCCATGATCACAGAACATAATATTAGATATTCTTCAAGACACTAGTGTTCAGCTTAAAGTGACTTGTAAAGGCTTTACTAGGGTAATTAGGGTAAAGTTAGGGTAATTAGGCAAGTCATTGTATAACAGTGGTTTCCAAAACTAATATTGCTTAATAATATTGACCTTAAAATGGTGTTTAAAACTATTAAAACTGCTTTTATTCTAGCCGAAATAAAACAACTTAGGCTTTCTTCAGAAGAAAAAATATTATCAGACACACTGTGAACATTTCCTGAATCTGTTCATCATCATTCGGGAAATATTTGTAAAAGAAATCAAAATGAACAGGAGGGCGGATAATTTTGACCTCAGCTGTTTATGTGTGTGTGAAGCGCTGTGACCTTTGACCTGCTGTGAGCGTCTGGGTTTGTTGCGTCTTCAGTCCAGGTGTGTTTTGAAAACATCTCTTCTTTCATTTGTATGATTTCATCTTGCATAACCGTGATAAAAGCGGCTCAGACAAACATTCCTGAGGCTCCAATCATGCCATTGTTTGCGTTTCCCTCGATGTTATCTCCAAAGAAAAACACACGCGAACGAGCGGCTTAATTTAGGAAACTGTAATACACTTTCAGATTCCACAAACGCGCTTAATAAACCACATCACTGCCTTTTATGGAGAATTGAAGCCATTGCTGAGGATCAGCAATTTCACAGCTGCGTCTTTACAGCTTTCAAACATCACTCGATTACAGGATCACTTTCACATCTGCTCAATATATGACCTAGTCTGAGTATAAATGACATGCATACGGTATAAAAGATGCATTTGTTTTATTAAAAATGCTGTGAGATCTCTCATGGGAAATATTGTGTGCATTAAATGCTTTTGGGATGCTTTGAATAACACTTCTAGTTCATTTAGGAGTATTTAATTGCATGTGATTTATTTTAATGCATAACAAATGCATGAATCTGTCTATAATCTCTCTCGTATTGCCAAAGCATTGCAGATTGCATAGACAATAGCATAATAATGTGACTTTTATAGTAGATCTTCTATGTTAAGCTGCTTTAAATGAAGATGAATTAAACATATATACAGAAAGGAAATAAACGAAACGCACAATTAGAGTTTTGATAAATGCATGCACAAATAAGAAAGAAAATGAGGACTCGTATGATTATTAAAACAATGAGAGAATATTGTTAGTAAAATATAAGCAAATACAATAAAATTAATAACTGTGCATTCATTTAGATGTAACAATGTGTGTAATAATTGTAATAATGTGAATTTTTTAACGGGTACATAGACAATAGAATAATAATGTGACTATTATATAAGGGTGTCACGATCCTCCAAATCCTCGATTCGGTTACATTTTCGATTCTTTAGTCACGATTCGATTTTCGATTATGAATAATTAATTAATTAATAACGCATTAATTATTTGTAGCCTACCGTTTAAACTACCTGACCTGCATGGTCTTTGTTTTACCTATAACCAAATCATACAGTAAATGAATAAAGGTAAGTTACACACATAATTACCAAAATCTATCTATTTAATTAAATCGAATCGAATCGTGCCTTCAGAATCGAAAATGTAATCGAATCGAGGATTTGGAGGATCGTGACACCCTTACAAATAATGGTTACTATCTACTATTGATACACTTGTCAGACGCTTGATTGACAGATTAGAGTGTGTGATGGTCATTGATTAATCCTTGAGTGTTCTCTGTGTGTTATTTTCTCAGCCACGACGTTCTTCAATCTGATCAACCTGCAGTACAGCACCATCTCTGAGTTCTGCACAGGAGACACGTGTCCGGCCATGAGCGCCTACAGCACGTGAGCAAATCTATTATTCACACGCTTCTGCAGAGGTCACGACCCCTGAGGCTGAGGCCACGACCCCTGAGCACCGAGAGAGAGAATAGCTCTTCCTTACTGCTGAACTTTTCATTATGATCAGAAATGAACAGATCAAACACAAGAGTAAACAAACTGAGGTGTTATTAGAGCGCTTTATTTGTTTTAGCCGTCTATGTGACACGATTAGACTTTGTAAAAAGAAAAATAAGTCCTTTGGAAATAAAAAAATAGCTTGTAAATAACAAAGATATATATATATATATATATATATATATATATATATATATATATATATATATTTATTTATGAGCAATATCACATGAGTAGCAGTGCGATATGGCTGTATATCGGCACTGGTGGGAGGTGTGTGCTGTGCCCCAACCAGTGCCAATATACAGCCATATCACACTGCTACTCGTGTGATATTGCGTTTATACAACAGTTTGACGGCATAATTGTGTATATAAAAACAAAATCAAACATGGAGAGTCTCAAAAACCCTTTTGTATGAGGAACTACTTTCTTTGGCGTTGGATTCAAATCGTAAGCTGACAGTTAAACAGCTGAGCAAGCATCTTTTACACTGTAGATCTGTAGTGTCTGCTTTCTGCTGGCTGTATGTGGGCGGAGTAATACACAAAGGGTAAAGAGGCTGTACGGGTGCTGATATTACTTAAATATATCACGGCTATCAACCAATCAGATTCAAGAACCAGACAGAACTGTTGTATCAATATACATATACAACAGTTCTGTCTGGTTCTTGATTGGCTGATAGCCGTGCGATATTTTGCAACTAACATCACACAAAGGCCTCTTCACCCTTCACCTCTGTGTGTTACTCCACCCACATACAGCAAGCAACAAGCAGGCTACACTTTGACAAATATTACTGCTGTTAGACAACAAAATGCACTTTTGAGACTTCTTTAGTGGAGAATGTAGCTGTTTAGATTGCAACTATGCTGTTTATTTGTAAGAATAGTGCCTATTTTAAAATATTAAATAAACAATTTCTGAGAGCTCGGCGGTGGCCAAAGACGGTTGACGTTATCTATCCACAAGATGGCACCAGGACTCGTGGGTTTTAAAGAGGACCGGATAGAGTCAATAAGAAGCTGTGAATAAAGCTGGATTCAGCCTTGTCCCTCCTTATCGCAAACACAACAGCAGTCTGGTGAGAAATATCTGTCGACAGATGGCATTTCATGTCACGTTCAGCCTTATAATCCTAAAATGTGAGCAAAATTTGCTGTTTTGTCATCACCTTAAGAGGGTCACACACCAGAAGCGCCGCTTCACATTACGCTATAGAGAATCATTCAAACACTAGCTCTACAGTGATGTTGGGGAATTAGTAACGGCTTCTGCTGTCCTGACGTCAGCTGCAGATGTGAATGAACGGCGGAAGAAAGTAGTTCCTCATACAAAAGTTCCTCAAACTTGTGGTATAAACACAATATCACACGAGTAGCAGTGTGCTATGACTGTATATCAGCACTGGTGGGGCGCAAAGGCCTGCGGCCTCGTGCCAACGCACTCCACCCACTAGTGCTGATATACAGCCATAGCACACTGCTACTCGTGTGATATTGCTCATATATATATATATGGCACTGGCTGCCAGTTGCTGCTCGCATCAAATTCAAAACTCTGATGTTTGCCTACAAAGTGACTTCTGGCCTAGCACCTTCTTATCTGCTCTCACTTCTGCAGATGTATGTGCCCTCCAGAAACTTGCGTTCTGTGAATGAACGTCGCCTCGTGGTTCCATCCCAAAGAGGGAAGAAATCACTTTAGCGAACTCTCGCGCTCAGTCTGCCCAGTTGGTGGAATGAACTCCCTAACTGCATCAGAACAGCAGAGTCACTCGCTATTTTCAAGAAACGACTAAAAACTCAACTATTTAGTCTCCACTTCACTTCTTAATCTGCAATTGCCTATTTGAATATCACACTAACTGTACAAAAAAAAAAAAAAACACTACTAACACTTCCCTTCTTAGACTTTACAGACCTGAAACTTGCCTTTAGTACTTATTCATTGTTGCTCTTAGTTGTGTAAATTGCTTCCTTGTCCGCATTTGTAAGTCGCTTTGGATAAAAGCGTCTGCTAAATGACTAAATGTAAAATGTAAATGTAAATATATATATATATATTCCTATGTTTTACCCATTAAAATGTGCTATGAGGCTTAATTCTAATCTATGTAATGCCGTTTTGGTCATGTTTTTTGGAAAATGTCCTTGTTAATACACAACAAAACCATGATATCTGAATATTACAAACAACTGAGTTAAAGGGGATGTTTTACTATATATATATTTATATATTCTAAATAAACAAAACACCACAGAGTGTATTTGCAGGTGTTTTGTGTGCGTGTTTTAGGCATGCATTGTGTGCTGTGTGTTTTCTGCATGGCATTGAGTGTGTGTTCAGTGTGTGTGAATTGTTTTTGATTTGAATGTTTATGAACAGACGATTGTTCGTTTTTTTCTGAATGAACTATCTGTCTGTCTGTCTCAGGACATATTTCTGGTATGATGAGAAAGGGAAGAAGACGAAGTGCACAGCACCGCAGTATGTGGATTTCGTCATGAGTTCAGTGCAGAAGCTGGTGACTGATGAGGACATCTTTCCTACTAAATATGGTGAGTGTGTGTGCATGCATATGTGTGTGTGTGATGCCCCCTGCTGGAGCAACAGTCTGATTACACACACTGTACACTGTACAAACCTCAAATAATTGTTTTTCGTGTATACAATTTTGGTGTAAGTTTAAATGCAAATGATCAGTTTTAGTCTACAGGTAACAAATATATAAAAATAAATGTTTAGGAAGTGGAGAAAAACAATTAAGTTTGCGAAGTTCAGTTTTAACAGCAACTTCAGGTTTTTGTAGTTTTTCTATCATGTAATTTAAAAAAATATTGATAATTTTTATAGAATTTTTTTGGATTTATAATCCAAATCTAATTGTTGAGCTCAGACATTTTTTATTCTTACATTTTCAAAGGAAATAAAGGCTTTTATTCCACAATGATGCATTAGGTTATGGATGATATATACTGTATATACACTCATTAAATTGATTAACATTCACAGTGAATTATATATAATGCTTCAATTTAAATTAATATTATGATTTAATATAATAATGTTTACGTTTGTAATTGATTTATTAATCAGATTATCCTTTAAAGAGTTTCATGAATGCATTTAAAATCTATCTAATATATATATATATATTTATATATTATTATTATTATTATTATTTTTAATTGATCAGCATTTTGTACATTTATTATTAATGATATCATTAATATTAGAATGATTTCTTAATGATTAGTAATGTATTATGAGTAATGATGCTAGAAATTCAGCTTCATCACAACAAAAGGTCACACTTTATGTCGATGGTCTGTTTGTTGAATTGAAGTTATTAATACTACTTATTCTCAATAAACTATACAGAGACTGTTAGGTTAGGGTTAGAGAAAGTTGACATGCACTTACAAAGTTTCTTATAGTCAGTTAAATGTCTGTTTAGCAGCAGCAGCAGATATTAAACAGACACTCTACTAATACTCAATTGGACCATCAAAATAAAGTGTCACCCAACAAAAAACATGTATAATTAATTCATGTAAATACAAAAATTATTTTTTATATATTTATACTTTGATATATTTATATGTGTCCCAGTATTCTATTAAATAAATATGTGCAAGTGTTTTCCAGGGTGTTTGTGGTTTATTAAAGTCTTAAAATTCACTATAATGTTGTCTTGTAGGTGTTGAATCATTTTAAACGGTTCTGAATTTTCCCGTGTCCATTTAAAGCCACCCAGTCAGTCTGGCAACTGTTCAATCATCAACAATCTAGCTCAATAAAGCATTTAATTTACCGATATGGCTTATCTTCCTTATAATAACATATGTTTATGAGTTCTCCATTTATGAAACACTGACCTGGACAGACTGTTGTGCATGCATTTAGTTTATTCTAGTTAATAGTAAAGAGTTTTTTATTGTAAAGAGGTGTAATGTATATTAGGGCTGTATGATATTGGAAAAATCTGACAGTGCAATGTTTAGTTTTTCTGCAATATTGCGAAAACAATTTGAGAACACAACCTCTTTGGAGGGGGAGAAAGTCATTAAATTAGATTGATTGGTCACGTAGAAAAGATAGGCTACAAATAATTAATCCGTAATTAATTAATTATTATTCATAAATAATCATAAATAATTAATTCACCACTGCCTACAATGCCATCGTCCATCGTGATGTTTCATATTAGACATCGTGTGATGCCAAATTAGTCAACATCGGCCAACTCTAGTCTTCATTGTATTAATAATTCAGTAAATGTATTCTTCGTTAAAGTTACGAATGCTGTACGTTATTGTGCCTCAATGCTTTTAACTCATTTGAAATGTCTTTAAACACATGCAGATGATAAAGGTTCACTCTGTTATGGTTATACTTTGCAATGACTTCACAATTCTCAACTCGACACAAGATTGCATATCCTGTAATGTGACTGTTGTGGACACACACATTGCGAGGTCGATGCTGAAACGATATATCGTGCAGCCCTAATGTTTACAAATGTGGCACATTGTTTAAAATGTGTGGCTGAAAAATAAATCATTCGAATTTTATGGTAAGGCAAGTCAAAAATCCTCAGCATGTAGTCCTGTATGAGTCTAAATAGTCCTTAATAACCGTCTTACAGTCTTAAATTTGAAGTCCTGTATTGACACAAGCCCTTGTCCTCTGTGTAACCTGCAGGTAAGGAGTTCCCCAACACCTTCGACTCTCTGGTGAAGAAGATCTGCAGGTATCTCTTCCACGTTCTGGCTCACATCTACTGGTCGCACTATAAGGAGACGGTGGCCATGGACCTGCACGGACACCTAAACACACTCTACACGCATTTCATAGTTTTTATAAGGGAATTCAATCTGATGGACCCCAAGGAGACCTCAATAATGGACGACCTGACGGAGGCGCTGTGCACACCTCTTCCGCCACAGAACCACGTGACAGAGAGATGAGCCCCCGGGGCCCGAACGCACAGCTGACCCCCGGGTTCAGACGGACTACAGCGCCCCAAACCCCTCCCCCAACCTTCACCCTTACACAAACATGTTGTCTTTAGGACCCAGTAAAGGAGCGCTGGAGGAGCTCGTGTTGGCCCTTTAACCAAGAGTCGTCTGCTAATTCCTCCCGTTTTCACCTTTTTCTTTTGTGGCTAATTTGGCGACGCATTCGAGCAGCACTTTCCCCTCCTCTCTTGGTTTCATAAGGGTCGGTATCAAGGTTTCTTTTTATTTTTTATAGGGTAAAAGGGTGTGTGTGTGTGCGCGTGTATGTGTGTGTGCGTGTGTATATGTGTGTGCGCATGTATATATGAGTAAGCGTATATATGTGTGTGTATGTGTAAATATATATATTCACACACGTATATAAGTTCACACATACGTGTATAAATTTGTGTGAACATAAATGTGTTCACGTGCATATATATGTTTGCGTGCGTGTATACATGTGTTCACATATGCATATGTCCGTGTGCACATATGTGTGTGAACATATGTTCGCATAAAGATGTGTGCGCGTATATGTTTGCATATGCCGGTGTTCTTGTGTGCACATATATGTTTACATATAGATGCGTGCGCGTATATATTTGCATATGCATGTGTCCGTGTGCACATATGTGTGTGCACGTATATATGTTCGCATAAAGATGTGTGCGCGTATATGTTCGCATATGCCGGTGTTCTTGTGTGCACATATATGTTTGCATATAGATGCGTGCGCGTATATATTTGCATATGCATGTGTCCGTGTGCACATATGTGTGTGCACATATATTCGCATAAAGATGCGTGCGCGTATGTGTTCGCATATGCCGGTGTTCTTGTGTGCACATATATATGTTTGCATATAGATGCATGCGCGTATATATTTGCATATGCATGTGTCCGTGTGCACATATGTGTGTGAACATATGTTCGCATAAAGATGCGTGCGCGTATATGTTCGCATATGCCGGTGTTCTTGTGTGCACATATATGTTTGCATATAGATGCGTGCGCATATATGTTTGCATATGCATGTGTCCGTGTGCACATATGTGTGTGCACGTATATATGTTCGCATAAAGATGCGTGCGCATATATGTTCGCATATGCCGGTGTTCTTGTGTGCACATATATATGTTTGCATATAGATGCGTGCGCGTATATATTCGCATATGCATGTGTCCATGTGCACATATGTGTGTGCACATATGTTCGCATAAAGATGCGTGTGCATATATATTCGCATATGCCTGTGTTCATGTGTGCACATATATATGTTTGCATATAGATGCGTGCGCGTATATGTTCACATATGCATGTGTCCGTGTGCACATATGTGTGTGTACATGTATATGTTCACATAAAGATGCGTGCGCGTATATGTTCGCATATGCCGGTGTTCGTGTGTGCGCATATATATGTTTGCATATAGATGCGTGCGCGTATATGTTCGCATAGGCATGTGTTCGTGTGCACATATGTGTGCACATATATATGTTCACCTGCACATATAGATGTGTTAGCATACGCATAAATGTGTTTGTGTGCACATGTATATGTGTGCATGTATGTATGTGTGCACGTATGTGTTCGCGAGTGCATATAGATGTATTCTTGAGCACGTCTGTGTTCATGAGCGCATATGTGTTTGCCAGCGCGTATATGTTGGCATACGCATGTATATGTGTTAATGCACGAGTATATATGTGTGCACGTGTCAATGCGTTCGCAAGCGCGTATATATGTTCATGTGTATGTAATTGCGTATGCATATACATGTGTTCATGTGCACATATATATGTGTTCACGTTTGCATATGTGCGTTCGTAAGCGCCTATGTGATTGTGGGCCATATATACGTGTGCATGTGTGTGTTCACAAGCGCGTATGTGTTCGTGTGCACGTATGTGTGCACATATAGATGTGTTCGCAGCGCATATGTGTTCACATTTACGTATGCGCGTATATGTTCATGTCCATCTATATGTATTTGCGTGCACATATAGATGTTTGCGTGCGCGTATGTGTTCGCAGATACATATACATGTGTTCTGGTGTATGTATACATGTGTTCATGTGCACACACATGTGTGTGTGTGTGTGTGTTTGTTCAAGGCTTTTGCACTCAGGAACTGAGAGAGCCGTCAATGCTACCTGCTCACCCACAGGCCTCTTGGTGTCACTTTATTCATCATATAGCTACAAAAAACGGCCCTCCATGTACATGTTGCGTATTAGCATGTTAACCACTGTAGAGGAGGCCGGTTTAGGCGGCCATGTTGGCTCCAGAGTCTGGCTCCGCATCTGTTTTTCTCTCTCTCTGAAAATGACAAAGACATTGGTGTTGTCTGCTGTTGATCCGGGCTCTGGACGTCCCGCGTTTGGGTTGTAATCATGTCTAGCGTCATTCTGAAAAGACGATTCGTTGAACGGAAAAGAATGTACACTTTAGTCTCTATGTATGATGGCAGAGATTATTATTATCTGGGAGCGCCTGAGAAAAGAACGCCGGCTGTTTGAGTTCTTCATCATCATCACTGCGGCTCCGTGACCTCTTGGTGAGATGACCGGACCTTTTTGCTTTTTATTTAATTTATTTCTTCATGTTTCTTTCTGTTTATTTTTTCGGTTTTGTTTGTTTTAGTTGACTTTTTCAGGGCTCCTCAGTTCTGGCTTTTTGTTTTATGTATTTTAATAATACTTTAAGTTAAAAGCGATTTAATATTTTAAGCTCTGCAAAATTATAACCTAATAAAATATTTAAAAGTCACGCACATTGTCGCATTTGGTGCCATTCCTCACTGTATAAAGTGTGTTGTTCTTTTACAGGTAAGTGTAAGGTATCACTGCTCTCATACCTGCTCACCCACAGGCCTCTCGGTGTCACTTTATTCATCATAACACAATAGCATACTAAAAACAGCCCTCCATGTACATGTTCCAAGTTAGACTGTAAAAGATATGGACGTAGTGTTCGTGAGCATACCTGCAAACACTCCTGTTTTTCCTGGTAGTCTCAGCTATAGATCGTGTACGGCTGGGGGTGGAAGCATCCCAACTCCTAAAAACAACCTCACAGTAATGTAAAAACACATCTGGATCTGGAGTCTGCTCTATTACTATAGCTGATTAACTATGTGGATGGATGATAACAGCCTTCTGAGCCTACCAGTAGGCACAGAAGGCCCCTACTGGCCCATATATATCAGCTGATGACCATTGATAATGCCCATCCAATCCAGTGATAACATCTGAAGCGGCTGCATCTGTTCTCTGATTGATGTTTACAGGCATGAGGGCGGGATCAATCTGTCACTCACATGAGATCCACCAATAGAAATCCATCATCCAGTCAAACGCTTTCAGCACCTTCTGTTAACTTTATTGTACAAGATATACAGTTATTATACAGAGCATATACAGCCGCAAGCGTTCCAGATGCACAGTGTGCTGTTTTTATTTGTCTGCGCGCACAAATGCAGAAAACACACTGTCCTTCTGCTCCAGCAGGACGTCCGGTTCATCATATTCGATTATTCCACCATGCTTCATCACGATCACCACGTCTGAGCCCAGGATAGTGTGAACACGATGCTGTCCGACACACACAACAACAAATACATGTAAAGAAGGTCAGAATAGTGAGATGGAAACTCAGAATTTGTCACTAAAAAGTGAAAACTAAATGACTCCGATCAATAAATGACATCAGTACATCGATATATGCACCAAAAACTAAATGGATAAAAATGATTTTAGTTTTTCTCAACTGTCTTATGGCAAGAATGGGTGTTGTTCAATAGTTTTAGGACTTTAGAACTTTGATGAATGGATTTATAGATAGATAGATAGATAGATAGATAGATAGACAGACAGACGGACGGACGGACGGACGGACGGACGGATGGATGGATGGATGTACGGACAGATGGACAGACAGACGGATGGATGGATGGACCGACTGGCAGATAGATAGATAGATAGATAGATAAATAGATAGATAGATAGATGGGTAGATAGATAGATAGATAGATAGATAGATAGATAGATAGATAGACAGACAGACGGACGGACGGACGGACGGACGGATGGACGGATGGATGGATAGACAGACAGAGTGATGGATGGATGGATGGATGGATGGATGGACGGACAGATAGATGGACAGACAGAGAGACGGATCGATGGATGGATAGATAAATGGACCGGTAGATAGATAGATAGATAGATAGATAGATAGATAGATAGATAGATAGATAGATAGATAGATAGATAGATAGATAGATAGACGGATGGATGGATGGATGGATGGATGGATGTACAGACAGATGGACAGACAGACAGACGGATGGATGGATAGACGGACTGGCAGATAGATAGATAGATAGATAGATAGATAGATAGATAGATAGATAGATAGATAGATGGATGGATGGATGGATGGATGGATGGATGGATGGATGGGTGTACGGACAGATGGACGGACAGATAGATAGATGGATAGACAGATGGATAGACAGACGGATGGATGGATGGATGGATGGACTGGCAGATAGATAGATAGATAGATAGATAGATAGATAGATAGATAGATAAATAGATAGATAGATAGATAGATAGATAGATAGATAGATGGATGGATGGATGGATGGATGGATGGATGGATGGATGGGTGGATGGATGGATGGATGGATGGATGGGTGGATAGACAGATGGATAGACAGACAGATAGATATAATTATATAATCAAATATTGGTCACACTTAACAATAACGTTTCATTAATTGATGTATTACTAATGAACGATGCTTGAACAGCCTTTATTAACATGTAGCATATAATACGTGATTTAACATGAACTAACCATAAACAGCTTTGTTTTCATGAACTACTGTTAGCAAATGTGAATAAATACTGTAATGAATGATTTGTTCATGTTAGTAAATACATTACCTTACTAAACAACCTTATTATAAAACATTAGCAAAACAAAAATTTAACATAAAATCAGAATTTGTAAGAGAAAAAAACTGAATTGAGATTAAAAACTCCAGATGTATTTTCACATGAGAGGTCATAAATATGAGACGAGCAAACCAGAATTGTCAAATGCTGATCTGAGGAAAATATAAATATATTTTGCAGGATTAAAAAAAAAATGTGTGAGGAAAAAGTCACAAACATTTGAAATGAAAATTAATCAGAATATTGAAAGATGTAAACTTGTATTTTGAAGAAATAAATGTACATAATATGATGATTGGGATTGAATTGTGAAACAAGCTGCCAAAATTATATATGTACAATTACATGTAATACATACATATATATATATATATATACATACAGTTGAAGTCAGAATTATTCGCCCCCTTTTGATTTTTTTTTTCTTTTTTTAAATATTTCCCAAATGATGTTTAACAGAGAAATGAAATGTTCACAGTATGTCTGATAATATTTTTTTTTCTGGAGAAAGTCTTATTTGTTTTATTTCGGCTAGAATAAAAGCAGTTTTAAATTTTTTAAAAACCAATTTTGGGACAAAATTATTAGCCCCTTTAAGCTTTTTTTTTCCCCGATAGTCTACAGAACAAACCATCGCTATACAATAACTTGCCTAATTACACTAACCTGCCTAGTTAACCTAATTACCCTAGTGAAGCCTTTTAATGTCACTTTAAGCTGTATAGAAGTGTCTTGAAAAATATCTAATAAAATATTATTTACTGTCATCATGACAAAGATAAATCAGTTATTAGAAATAGGTTTTTAAAACTATTATGCTTAGAAATGTGTTGAAACAATCTTCCCTCCATTAAACTGAAATTTGGGGAAAAAATAAACAGGGGTGCTAATAATACAGGGGGGCTAATAATAATTCTGACTTTAACTGTATATATATATAATATGCATAGATAGTATATATATATAACATATGTATATGCATTTGTTTAATATAACCTATACATATAACTTTTTTTTCTCCCAAGTTGGAATACGCTTCCATCTCACCAATTGCTTATTAATGTGCACATTGAACTTTGTTTTTGTCAATCAGTAGATTTTATGACTGTGGTGTTGTGTTTAATATTGTTTTGTGAACTCACAGCTATGGTGACCACAGTCCGGTCTGCAAATGCAGTCATGACCACTTTCTGCAGGATACTCTCCTACAGGAACAGAGAAATGACAGTGAGCTGCTACTGAAGCACAGCTGTATGCACATATTACAGTACACAGATGAGCTCAACCCTTTTCAAACCTTTATGAGTTTCTGTCTGGTGCTGAACACAAAAGAAGATAGTTTGAAGATTGCCGGAAACCTGTAACCATCGACTTCCATAGTATTTGTTTTCCTACTATGGAAGTCAATGGTTACAGGTTTACATTATTCTATAAAATCTTTTCTTCTATATAGTGAGTACATTAAAATGTTGGGGTGAGCTGTCCCTGTAAGGGCGCACATCATTTTGTGCTTGTTTTTCCAGAAGTTCACACATCAACATATATTTTGTCTTCATTAATGCACCATATACATGTTTTTTACTAAAGAGTGTGCAGTTTATTTTTCTGTGTTTACATGGAAGATTATTAAAGGCGCAGTATGTCATTTTCTCCACTAGAGGGTGTGTATTCACAACAAACAAATGCATATTGCAATCATGGGAGTTGTAGTCGTCATCATCCTTCAGCACTCTTCATTTGTACATTTTAAAAAGCCATTTCCCCAGTACTTTAACACAGATTTTCAGATAGTTGAATGTCGGCTAAATGTTGCCATATTCTAACATCAATGCAAAGACCTTTTATCCAGTGCATAAATCTGTCAATGCATACATCTCAATTTTTAAGCATTGATGGTTTTGTGGTCCAGGGTCACATATTTGAATATTGTAATGTATGTAAATGAGCTGAGTGTTTTCCTCACCGTTGCCATGTCGATAGAGGCCGTGGCTTCGTCCATGATGAGGATGCTGCTCTTCCTCACGAAGGCCCGAGCGAGACAGAAGAGCTGCCGCTGACCCTGACTGAAGTTCTCTCCTCCTTCAGTCACCACTGCATCTGTGTGTGTGAGATAAAAACATTCAGGTAAGTTTACAGCGTGTATATTAATGGCAGGGTGTTGTAAATTAGCTAAAAACCACAATGTCTGTAATGCTTTTGTGAAGCGGTTATATTATAAATATTGCACATATAATATATATATATATATATATTGCATATATATATATATTATTTTGTTATTACCGAGTCCTCCAGGTAGAGCTTTAACAACCGGCATCAGCTGAGCGATTTCCAGAGCCTCCCACAGCATTTCATCAGTGGCTTTTCTCTCTGGATCCAGATTAAATCTGCAATACAGAGAACAACTAGATATTATAGTCTGAGGACAAACTTTATGGTGGCTTGAAAAGCCGAGTCTGAAAGTTTGAAGTCGTTTTAAAGTGTAAACAACTGAAGTAGTTTATATGAAGTTTGAAACAGTCGGCACAGATAATTACTTACCTGTTAGCATGTTAAGGTGTTGCTAGGTGGTTGCTAAGGTGTTGCTAGGCGTTTGCTGTGGTATTCTGGGTCATTGTTAAGGTGTTGCTAGGGTGTTCTGAGTGGTTGCTAGGCAGTTGCTAACATAAATTAGCATGATTCTAGCATGAATTAGCATGTTGTTAGCATGACTCTAACATGAATTAGCATGTTGCTAGCATGATTCTAGCATGAATTAGCATGATTCTAGCATGAATTATCATGTAACTAGCATGATTCTGGCAT